GACCTGTCCAGGGTGTACCCCGCCTCTCTCCCTATGACAGCTGGGACAGGCTCCAGCGCCCCCTGCAGCCCTGAAAAGGATAACTGGAAGCGGTTGGATGATTTACTGACACTAGTGGAGACCAAGCTAACGGTGGATGCACACTCAGCTGCTCTGGTTGAGTCTATTGATTTTCCAGCCACAGTAACAACGATCAATAAGCATAGCAGCAACTCTCTCACTAATGTAGGAGTTTTTCCAGAGGGGAACCAGTCAAGCTAATTTTCCACCTTTACAAAGATGCCCATCGTCTTAGTGAGGAAGCGTGTCGGTGCAAAACCAAAGAAACTAACCCAGAGCTGCAGAGTGTCAGAACCCAACCTCTGCGTTGTATAACGGGATTTTTAATACATTTTTAAAAAGTATAATGGAAACATGAAATTAGCATATAAGAAATCTGATTTCATCATTTTTTCAGCAAAATTGTTATTGCTAATGACTGCTCATGAGACTTATGGGGACACTTAAGCTTGTATGAGGACATCATTATCAAGACGGAGAGAAGATTTCCTCTCCTAGTGTGATTTATATTCTGGTGAGAAGCTTTGATTCAGAATTATTAATGAGGGAGTTCATTTGAGCTGAATATGTTCTGGACTCAACGCTGACACTTGCTGTGATTCAATCTGTGTTACAAAACTCGCTGACATCAGAGAAACCAGCTGCAATTTTACATGTTTGTCAGCAATCAAGTCATTCTAAATCTGTGCGAGCTGTTACTCACCCTGTCACTGTTCTTGTATTTATCCCACTTCTTCACCATCTTCAGCCATTTCTCTGCTCTCTCGATCTCCTGCTGCTTCAGCTATGAAAGTAAAAGAAGCTGGTGAACAAAAACATCCTACTGCATGCATTTGTCCTGAAAGAAATGTGACATTTGCCTCTTTACCTTCTCTTCGTGTGCAGTTGGTGCCGGCAGCTCATCTTCACTGGAAGAATGAAGAGAAACAAATGATGAGAGGCTACAAAACAGGGCAGAGTGGCACCAACCGGCACGACTTTACTTCGAAGACAGACTTACTGCATGAAGCCGAAACGGTCGATGACTTTGTAGATGCTGTAATCAGCATCCTCCCAGGGGTAGATCTCCACCCCGCCCTGCCTGCCCTGGAAACAGTAACAGGTATAAACTTACAAACTACAGTCTAGACAAATAGATACGCACATGTGTACAATTACTTACATAAACAAAAGGATCTTATTGAGCTGAAGCGCAACTGCCCTAAAGGAACTACAAAGGCCCCAAAATGGAGTTTAAAGACTCCTGATGAGCCCAAGGTCCTACAGTATGGATATAGGTGCTCCTTACATGGGTCAGTTCTACATCTGGCTTGCATCTGGCCCAGATAAATGGTAAATGGCCTGTATTTGTATAGCGCTTCTCTAGTCCCTAAGGACCCAAAAGTGCTTTACACAACCAGTCACCCACACATTCACACACTGGTGATGGCAGCTACATTGTAGCCACAGCCACCCTGGGGCGCACTGACAGAGGCGAGGCTGCCGGACACTGGCGCCACCGGGGCCCTCTGACCACCACCAGTAGGCAACGGTTGAAGTGTCTTGCCCAAGGACACAACGACCGAGACTGTCCAAGCCGGGGCTCAAACAGGCAACCTTCCGATTACAAGGCGAACTCCCAACTCTTGAGCCACGATCGCCCTATAACACTTTTACATAACCCATGTAAAGCCTGCCTCATTGCTTTTGGCCTGTGCCTGGCCTGGATGCAGGACTTGCGAGTGCTGTGCCAAAAGAAGTCCAGAACAGGTCCCCATGTATCTTCTATCTGGGTCCATACACAAATCTTTGCACACAATCGTGTTTGTCGTTAGTATCTTCACAATTTATTTATTTATTTGGTGTGTGTGTGTGTGGCAGGGGCATATTGTGATGCTCCTCTTCCTCTTTAATGCTACAGTTATTATTATTACAGGTATTACAGACCTAGCAGTAAGGTCTGGGGTTGATAAGCTGAAGTACTGTAGAGGTACCAGAAACTACAGTTCCTCTTGGGTCCACTTCAGGCTGTCTCCAAAAACAGTCAGTCGGCGTAGACTGACGTGACGCTAACTGATTGCACCCTCTCATCCAGAAATCATCACTTCTGCCTTAAATAAAATCATAGTTTGAGTCCAGAAAGCTTTGATATACAGTGCTCCCTCGCTATAACGCAGTTCACCTTTCGCTGTTTTGCTGATTTTTTTTGGTGCAATTTTGCATCCTTTTTTTTTTTAAACAACACATTGTGTTCTGCGTCCTGATTGGCTGTAGACCATTGTAATCAATCTCGTGCCGTGTCTGCTGTACAGTACAGAACGCGTTCAGTTTGTCAAATTTACATAAATCTTTGATCCTAGCAG